CCACGCTGCAAACCACGCTGCAAACCCTGCTGTCTTTGAATGGAAGCTTCTCCCCTACAAGAAATGTGACCACGAATTTTGAAGTGGTTTACCGCAGCAAGAAATCACTCTCTTACTTTGTGGAAGTAGAAAGGTCACTCTTACGAAATCCCAACCGAAAACCTTGCGTCATATGAAGCTTCCCTTTTCACTCGCTTGAATCGACCCAAGCAAATCGTGCAGGGCGAAAACAACATCGCGCAAGATCAAATTGACGAAGCCGTAAAATCAGGAATGGGAATTCGTGACTGGTAAGCACAAAAACCACCAGACAACCACAGACATCCCATAACTTATTTGAATAAATACCACAAGGATTTATTTTAAGGCGGTGGGTTATTGTCGGTGCACTACACTGCAGTCAGTAGTCAGAGTAAAATACAAATTTGCACTTACTGGAACACATGGTTGTCCACGGAGAAAATGACGTTTTGCACTCCGACCGTTGGCACATAGCTCATGATCAGATCACGGGGAGTTGGCGTGAAGTCGAGCGTATTTATTGATGCCAAGTTTTCCAGAAAACTAAACAACAAATATCAATAAATTTAGTGTTTAAAGGCAGTGAACGCGACAGCTGGTGGGTGGAGCGACTTTGGTGACGTCATTGAACGTGATTGGCGGAAGGGCATTAGATGGGGCGGTGACTACAACTACACCCTCCAGCGTTCAGTGAGTCTTCCAGGGTGAATATCGGTCGAGGATTCCTCAACGGCACGTCGAGGATTTTGCCTGATCAGTTACGATCTCTCGCGCGGACATTCACACTCGCCATGCGCGTGCCGTCTGTGCTCTCCGCGCGTACGTTCACTCTCGGCACTACTCTCAGTACAGAGCCATGGATCGAGGATTTCATTGACCATCATTCACTCTGGAGTCTGCTCCACCAATGGCGTTCACCGACGTCATCGAATCTGCCACCACTTTCAGGCATCGTTTTCGCAGTCTTCAGTAGCACACGGTTACTGTATTGCATCATCTATTCATTCAGGTTCCGGTGAACTTTTTTTCAATTGTTTCGAAGTGCGCAAAAAGAGTTGGTCATCACTCAGGGTACTGATGCGAGAGGGCTCGAAAAGGTGAATCAGGTTGGCCTAAGGATGTCGTTCATAAACGCAGTAATTCTGGGTACTGTAACTTAATTGACTGGGCTTACTATTTGGAACTGTCGTTGAGGTTGATTTCGCTCCTCCTTTCGTAGATCTTTTGCACGGCCGTATCGTGCCATACTCGTTGAATAGCCTCACAAACATCATGCGTAAAACATGCGAACTGCGTCTCTTCCTCGGCCATAATTAATTCAGCATATTTCTGAAATGATCCGTTAACTTTTGAATTTCATAATATTCTTTGGTCATTATTCGCTTCACAGGAGTAGGCGCTACTTCATGATATGGGG